ACCATGAATAATAATGCCATGTACATGTGAGGGTGTTTTTAGTTGTTTAATGAAATATTGCTTTAAGGACTTCAGAAAGAAAGGGAGCAGATTACATTTTTATATAATTACTTCACATTAGTGCTACAGCTGTTTGTTTAAAAAAAAGAAGAATTAACATTGTACCCCAAAATAGCTGCTTGTCGCATTTAAAAGTCTTGTGTACAATCTGGAGAGTGGCCATGTTTCTAAAAACATTGTAAGCCAGTTGAATGCTAGTGTGAAACCCCTTCTTCATTAAATAACCTATTTGTTAGTATAATGCAGCATTTCCGAAAATAAAGACATATAATGTTACAAACAATGTAGATAATTCGCTTCTGTGGTACTTTCTTTAACTTAGGAGGGATCGGTTGTCATTCTTACCAAAGTGAAGCTACATTATATATCCCCGTCATGTGACTGCACTTTGACAGACAAACTGAACAAAGGCTGTTCTGCAGCTGAACTCACAGTGAGCGCTATTTAACAGTATTTTTAAGGTAAGGCTTGCACGGGCACGCATTCACTGCGTGGGTGGACCTTTTGGGTGTGACGTCACCGCACGATTCCCTTTACCCGGGTCCACGCATGCCTGACTCTCACAGCAGCTCGCGCCTCGCTCTCACACCAACTTACCTTGAATCCAGAGCGGCGCCGTAAGTTAAAGAAGCGGAAATATACGGTGGGTATTTTCTTGATTTTTTGCCTGCATTGCGACTCGACTGGGACATTGATAAACGACAAACTTCTACACTAGTGAAGGGAAGTCAAAAAGCAGGTGAGAACTTAATTTTTTTGGATGTGTGTTGCTTCTGTGAGGGACAGTCCCGTTGTTTTCTTGAGTGTGAATGATGTAACTGAAAGCCTTCATCACATGCTTCAAACATCATTTTTTACCAATTAAATAAATACTTTGAAACCAGACAGCAGACCTGTCTTGTTTACAAGAAGTCATCGATATTAAATTAAACGGAAGCCGGCTTGTTTGTTTTCATTAAAGCGTGTTAATTAATAAAGTCAGTTTTCCAGAATTTTCGCAACGTTTTAAAATAGAAGTGAAGGCATTCACACCCACAGAAAGTCATGCAAACGGCGCAAATGTGCAATATTAGTGCAGACGTAGACTTTGAAAAATCAGCACAGCTGTTGTAAAAGTAACTGTGTAAAACCTTGAGATACACTTTCTGATTTTCTGCCTGTCAGCTGATATCTCTTAACTGCTGAGGAAAAAGAGGAACAACTTTGAGTTTCACAATTCCAAAAGATATACTAGTGGAATTTTTGCAAATGTAAAAAAGGAGAAATGGGGGGAAAAGAAAATCTTCTTTTGCGCACAGCATGCGTGCGGTCAGTAAGGTCAGACAAAGTCCTACAAACATCAAGTGTGCGCCTTGTGTTATCAGCGTTATTGGCTTCAGTCAAAATGGTGTGAATTTAAATGACACCAGTAAACATACTTGGCAGCCAACACTGGATTTTCTTGGACCAGTGAGCGGAAGTTAAACAAATGAAAGTTATTTTGAAACTTCTGGAACGTAGCGCTCATAGAGCATTCCCTAAAGCTGAGTCAGAATTCAATTTGCTTTGCAGTGAAGATCATGTGTTGAGGTTCATGTTCCCTCATCATGTCAAAATGAACATTAAAACCAACAGTTTTAATGCGGTTGTCGAGTGGTTTAGTACAGGAAAACATGATTTCTTTCTTTCTTGTCTTATTAAGCCACAACTGTGGCACAGAGTTTGAAACACCTGCTGGAGCTGCATGCATTACTTCTGTTAGCTCAGTATATTTTATGATATTGCTCTGTTGTTAAAGCCAGTATTTTATCATTTACATTACACACATAAATCAACAAATCTTTGTATTAAAAGTCCTGGATAAGAGATTTGTAGGCCTCTAGTTTTTTCTTTGCATATACTTGAGTCTGTCTTCAACTGCCAGCAGTTCGGTTTCACCCACAAAACACATGAGCAACTGCAAACATGAAAGATGACTATGACTGGACGTAGTTGAGTTATGTAGCATGTTTGTTTTTCTCTGGAGGGGAATCTATCATGCTCTTTCATTTTATTTGTCATCATACACTCTATTATATCATTGACCTGACTTTAGCTTTTATGATGTCACATGGACATCCCAAAGATTCTGAGTGGTGTGAAGGTCCGGAGTCAGTGGTGGCCACAGTATGTGAAAATGATGTCTTGTGCCCCCCGAACTACTCTTTCACAATTTAAAAGGATAGTGTGTAGCTTTCGGGATATAGCTGCACAATCAGGGAAGAAAGAAATGAATTCATGGAAAAATCATTAAGCATATTTAGGTAATCATCTGACCTATTTTTTTTTCTGGGCGCATGAAGTAACCTCAGATCATAACACTGCCTCCACAGGTTTGTAAAATAAGCACTATGCATGATGGGCTCATGATATGTCTCATTTCTTACCCTGATGTTCCGATTACCCTGGAACAGGGTAAAACTGGGCTCATTAGACCACGTGACTTTTTTTCTACTGGTGTAGAGACCAATATTTACACTCCCTATCAAATTGAAGCCTTTTTTCTGGTTAGCTTCACTGATAAGTGGTCTTTTTAGGGCTACATAGCTCTGGAGACCCAATCTCTTGAGTTCTTTACATAATATGTGTATGAAAGTGCCTTTCTTGCAATGTATTACACTTGCATTACACATTCCTCTTTACTCGACTTAAAAGAATGCACTATGGAATGAAATTAGATGCCGGAGAAAGTAATTTGACTGCTTGGCATATTACTTTCTCATTACTCTGTAAAACATAATTACATTTTACTTATAAACACAAAGCCAAACAAAGATGAAAACCAGCCTAAAAATTAAAGTAGAATCGCCACAGTAATTCTATTTTAGAAACAAGAACAGGTAGAAATGGAGGCTGCAGGCTGATGGCCCATCAGTGTGGAAATTCGGGGCCTGGTTACTGTGCTGGAGTTAACATGGACTCGGCTTTATCATCACTCTGGGTTCTTGGCTAGATTTGTGTTTGCATGCTGTCTGTGCAGGTGCTTGCAAAGAGCTGAAGTTGTGTTAGCCTTATAATGCAGTCGGTACAGTAATTTACTTTACTGCATTATAGAAAACTCTAATATGATTACAGTCAAGCGTTACTTTGTAATCACGTTACTTTGTAATCACGTTACTTTGTAATCACGTTACTTTGTAATCACGTTACTTTTTAACTTTGTAACATGTTACATACAACAATGTTTCTTTATTTAGTTATTTTAATCTAACTGAATTTGTTACTCAAAAATTTGTTGTCAAGACTAAGTCTCACAGATCTCTTTTCCTCTTTTTGGTTTAACAGGATGGGTGAAAGCAACTGCTCAAGGATAGATGTAGACAACGATACATGCCACTTCAAGCACCACATTAACCCTCCTGTGAACCCCCTGATCAGCGCCTCCATGTTTGCTATAGGCATCTTTGGAAACGTAGCTGCCCTGGTGATCTTGGAAATACGGCGACGCAGGAACGTAAGGAGTGGAGGCACGTGGCAGCGCAGCTTGTTCCACATCCTCATCACATCATTGGTGGTTACGGACTTGACTGGAACCTGTTTGATCAGCCCGTTGGTGCTGCTTTCATACTCGCGCAACTTAACCCTGATTGGTATGAGGCCTAAAACTTGCAGCTTGTGTTCATACTTTGGTGCCAGTATGACCTTCTTCAGCCTGGCTACCATGTTGCTCCTCTTCTCTACAGCACTAGAAAGATGCTTTGCCATTGGGTACCCCTACCTGTACAGCCGGCATGTCACCAAGAAGTGTGCATACATCACAATATTGCTGGTGTTTTTGTTGTGCACAATATTCTGTCTCCTCCCTTTTGCTGGATTTGGGAGATATGTACAATACTGCCCGGGCACGTGGTGCTTCATTGACATGAATGCAGTGAAACCACAGAACAAAGCCTATGCCATTCTGTATGCCACTATTATGCTGGTGCTCGTGGTGGCCATTGTAATGTGTAACGCCTTTGTGGTGTACCAGCTGTATAGGATGTACCAGCGCCGGAGGAGAAATGGCACAGCGATGTCCACAATGAGATCCAACAGTGAGCGCAAGCTTCTGTCCATGTCAGAGGAGGTGGAGCATCTGATCATGATGGTCGTCATGACCGTTATCTTTATCATCTGTACACTACCACTAGTGGTAAGTGACAATGAAGTGTTGTTCTGCAAATGACCTTTGTTCATCAGTTTGTTTGGGCTGAACTGAATCCGTGGGAGCCATTCATGGCCAATTCAGGGTTTTTTTGTCTCTTCTTTTGAGGAGACCACTCTACAGGTGGATGAATCTACCAGAGGTGGAGGATGGACTTAACCATGTTGTTTATTATCTTATGTAGTCTGGGAGTTAACTGAATGTTAGGGCGGGTGGTTTTTTTCTCTGTGGTGGGGTCAGATGGGCACTGGGGTCCTTTTCTCCCCATCCCTAAATATGTCCCTTCTCCCGCTTAATCACAGCAGCGAGTGGGGACCAATAGGAAGGGTCAACGTAGGGCTGGGCGATATGACCCAAAATTCATATCTCGATATTTTTTAGCTGAATGGCGATATAAGATATATATCTCGATATTTTTTTATAAAGCCATAAGGTAAGAACAAAAAGAGAGTTCTTATTTAAAGCTGTGTCCCAGATGTCACATGGGCACTTTTATTAACATACAGCGCA